TACGAATGTGATATGTTTTACTGAATTACAACACAGTTACTGATCAGTGTCTGTCAGTCTTAGGGATCTAAATGGGTTTGTGCCGTCCACTGCTCATTCTTTGACTGAGTCTTCGTCATCTCTCTTCAATCTAAATCTAAAGATTTGCACTGAAAGATTAAATCAGTTCCATCTCCGAGATCTCTGATTGGTCAGCCTTAACACACAAGACTGGTGGTATATAGCCATTCAAGCCGTGTCCCCAGATCAACACACAGCAGTCAAATTAGATCAGATTAGTTAGATTTCATGTACTGCTTTAAAAACCAAAATCTTAAACATAAGTACACAGACTCTACTGAATGAGTATGCAGTCCTCAGTACTGTCTGGTGTGCAGCTTTGTCACAAGGTGGTGGATGGACTGTGTGGCCGGGATGCTCCTCGCCGGGCGGATTACAGCGCCACCTGGAGCCTGGAGGAGTGGCTGGCGCTGCTTGACTCCCTGACTGCCTTCTTCCGTCTGGCAGTGGGGAACAACAGCTCAGATGAAGAGGTTGGTACTGAGACAGGAGGAGAGAGAGTTGTCTTTGATTACTGGGCTATCAAAGATAATAGACTACTCACAAGATCATTAGTTTAAACACGTCCAGGTCCATGTTGTTGAGCTGTGTTTTGTGACCTCCATATGATGACGAACACGGCACATGTTCTGTGTGAAGGAAGCATGTTGAAGAGGGGCTGATCTGGTGGTTGTAGCTGCTCTCAGGTCAGATTCTCAGCTCTCCTCCTGTCTCTCTGTGTACAGGTGCTGGCTGGGCTGAGAGATGTGGTCAGCAGCCACGCTGAGATGTTGCTCAGTGTGCTACGAGCCAGAGAGGAGGAGATCCACCGCGCTCTTTTGGACAGAACCAACTGCATCTCCTCTGCTACTCTGCAGGATTTTGACTGGCAGCTGAAGGTGACCGGACGCTGCGCGTGTTTGCCTTTCACCGGCTCTGTCCTGTATTTCAGATTTACCATCATATTCTAAAATCACTGAAGAGGCGTTAAAGCATTGGCACACTGCAAACACCCAGTTTTGGCGAGACTCTTCTTATTGCGTGCATGAGACAGATGGTCTCCTGCAGGTGATCATTTGGCACACATCAAGTGACAGCTGGCAAGATGAGACGCATACATGACAATGTTGCAACCCCATATTCTCCGTATTTAAATGTTTATCTTTCAATATATTTGCTTATGTGGCATAAAACGATAACGTGAATCTGATGCCCCGGATACAATTACAACTACTCTAACCATGACACATAAATGAGCAGCAGGATTGCATGAAATTATATCGGCATCAATAAAAGAATCATCTAACATKCATAGTTTGTAATGAAAAAACATGTAGGATCGGCAATGTCAAGGAGAAGTACTACCCTCACTCCTCAGGTGTAATAGTAACGCAGTCGAAAACAAAGTACTGTACCATGTTGCTAAAAACACTTACACATTACTTCACCAAGTTACCACATTGTACACTATAGGAAACACTATATACATACATATGAGACAATATATTGCAACACTATGCCAACAGCAAGGTTAAATTCAAGAGCTCTGGAAAGGGATCATTCACAATGATTCATGGGATGCGTAGTTCCTTCACTCCTAAAATAATTATGAATACAGTCCTGTACATTGGCATTTTCCGCTCCATATTTATTTGCCCCAAATTTAAATGTTTAATGCTCACAATTCATCTTGGAGCTGGTCAGCCTGGTTCCAGAATGTAATCTCCCTGACTACAAAATACACTGCTCAAAAAAAGTAAGGGAACACATAAATCACTCATCAGATCTTGATGAGCAAATAATTCAAGTTGAAAATCCTTTCTGATGTACACTGTATAACTTGTTGAGAACAAAATTACATAAGAAAGGTCAATGGAAACCAAAATCATCAAGATCATCTCCTTCCAAACCTGGATCAGTTATCAGTGAGCTCCTGGACAGTGTGTGGCAGTACATGGTGGCATCGGATACACGATACATAATCTCCCATAGGTGCTCAATAGGATTTAGGTCCGGGGAACATGAGGGCCAGTCCATGGCATCAATGCTTTCGTCATGGTGGAACTGTCTACACACTCTGGCCACATGAGGCCAGGCATCGTCCTGCACTTAGCTTTTGCCACTTATGCTTTCTAAATGGACAGATTGAATAACCTGATTTTAACTGACTTGGTGTTTTACTGTGACCATGAAATGTCCCCTAATTAGTTTTGAGCAGTGTATATACTGTGTATATATACTGTATATCCTACAGTGTGGATTATTTGAGCTAAGGCAAGCTGTATAGTCAGAAGGTCAGAACGTTTTTGTATTTCTAGACAGAATGATTCACATGTCACAGAAATAACACTGTGTGTGTCTGTCATTTTGAAAAATTGAAAAGGTATTAATACTGACGACTAAAACAGAATATAGGATGCTCTTGCCAGTGACTGACCTGGATCTTTTGTGTTGGCTGAATATAGCACAATATTGAGAACACAGCCCCATGAGGACAATTCATACCAAAGTTCAAATGATGTCAGGAAACAGACTGTCCCCTCAGGCTGTTCCCGCAGTGCCACCGTGTTCTCATCACACCTCCTCTCTTCCTGTGCCCCGTCCTCTTCTTCCAGTTGGCTCTGTCCAGTGATAAGATCTCATCCCTCCACACTCCTCTGCTCAGCCTCAGTCTGGACCTGAGAGAGAACGGAGACCTCCGGCCCGTCACCATGGAGATGAACCGAGAGGAGCTAAACACCCTCATCAGTTCGCTGGAGGCTGCTAATAAGGTAGACACAAAGGAATGCTAAATACTGCGTGTGTGTCTTGTTTGCATGGGGGAGAGTTTACCTTTAGAACACGCTCTGCTCTGGGCCTCGACGTTTCTATTGTGAATGATTTGGACTCCAGTCAGGTGACTATCAGTTGTCATGCGAGTCTGAGCAGAGAGAACAAATAAGAACAAATGAAATAGAATTAAGGGTCGGCTAGGGTTTTTTTTTTTTAAAGCTAGCGTGTTGCTCTGAAAGTGCATACTTCCACCAAGGCTAACGCTCTATCACGTCATGTCAAAGCAGTGTTTCCTATTAATTATCTTGACTGTGGCAGCCTGCCATTATCTAATTAGTTCCGCCACAGATTCATAATGAAAGATAAAAATGATAAAACACTTATCATAATAACTGTTTTGGTGTTTGGCTCTTGTCACTGTGTTGCACTATTTGTCATGTGCTCGCTTGCGCTATCGTGCAGAAATATTTTTACAGTCCACGCAGACGGCCTTACCTCATAGTTTCAGCTGCAGTTTTGCGCGCACCCGCAAGTGGCATGTAATGCGGTTATCTCTTGAGTCTGCGTGCCTGTCACTCCAGATCTCGTGAGAGTGACCTTCATGTACGTGCATGTTCATCACTGCTGCCACCATCGATTGAATTAATCCTCTTAAAAACACTGTAAAGACAGTCAAAAATGTTTTTCCTGCAGCTGCATATTTATTTTGATCTGTTCCAAAATTGAAGGGTTCTTGCTTGTGCCAGGTCCCACCCCTTTACAAAATGAATGGTAATCAGTTCAGTAGTTTTTGCGTATGTGAACCAACTAACTAACTAACGCTGATGAAAACATTACCTCCTCGGTGGAGTTGAAAAAAACCTGGTAACTGACCCACCGACAGTTTCTGGGGTGTGGTTTGTTAGTATAGAAAATAATAAAGAATAACAGAACTTTTAGCTCCAGCTCTTTTCTTTTTTTTTTTTAACAGATGATCCCACAGCTGAGAGGCTCTAAGTTAGACCAAGGGATACACTGGCACTTTTCAAATATGAATGATTCAGATATTAGACATTTATAAGGTATCAGAGGAAACACTGCCAGCTGTTAAAAGTTTAACTCTGATGAAGAACAAAACCTGGGTGTCAGGACAGTTACAGTATAAAGCCAGAGCTTTTTTTAGGTAGTAGGAAATTTAATAAATATTGTTCCCCTTCAAAATCCCGGCGTGTGAAACTTGTTGGTTCGCACCCAAGAAAACTTGTATGTTCTGCCAAAGAGGCTTCTACAAAATACTGAATGAAGGGTCTGCTTACTTATGTAAATGGGAGGTTTCAGCTTTAAATTTCACATTTTCACTTTGCCATTTGGGATGTTGTCCATAGATTCAAGATTAAATAGTTTAAAATTACATTGAGAACAGCAGAAAGACACTCAGTGGAGAGCATATACCTCCGATAAGCCCCAACAATCGTCTAGTCAATCAAAGCGCAAACTACAGATTTGAAAATTTCAGATTTTTTTTCAATAATGATTCATGAATTATTCCTTTGGAAATGAGTGAACATTTTAAGGCGAAAAAAAACAAACATTCTACATTCTTCCACTAATCTGCTCAGTTGTTTTTGTGGAATCTTGTTAACAAACACACAAATGGACAGGGGTGAAAACATAACCTCCATGGTGGATGTGATAATTCAGCATGCACAAAGTGAAGATTTTCTGAGGCTACTGTTAATCAAGCAATTCAGGAAGTGATCTAGTTAACTGCTGGCCACATAAATGCCAGGATGTACGGAACAGTATCGTATACATAAAAAAGCAAAGTGTGTTATGTGGTAAAAAACATTCATTTTTCCCCCATTAAGAAACAGTGAATACAAACTAACACACGTTTGTGTGGACATGGGGAATAGAAAATCAGAATGACTGTGTCATTTATTTATTTTCATTGTTCTATAACAAGCAGACAGAAGGTGTGCGGCACACAGTGTTTGGTTCTCTGGGGAAATTACTTTATTTACTTGTTTATTAAAAAGCATATGAATAAAATACAATATTCTATGGGCTATATTAAAGATTTACGACGTAAGTAGGAGTCAGTGGAACTTGGAGTCTGAGAGCCACAGATAGGACGAGTTGTGTTATCACACTCACCCCTCAGAGTCTGTCAGGCTGAGACCATCTCCCTTCTCTCTCAGCCTCTATTTATGAACATGCCGTGGATGACGGGTGAGGAACCATCTGGCGAGGTGGTGCAGTCGTGTCAGGCACAGCACTTCCTGTCAGCGACTCGAAATTCACACGTTAAGCTTTTGCTCAGTGATAAAACGACTTCATTTCAAGTAAAAACAGCAGCGTTTCTAAGTGAAGATTGAAAAGACATTAAGATATCGACTGAAGAAGTGTTGAATTTGTTCTTTAATAGGATCCATTAACAATAAGGATACATAAACACCAGCATGTCCCTTTAAAGCTGCATGTTTTCCATTTTTTCCCGCTTGGCTGCAGAAGTTAAGACCAAACTAAAATGGCATAAATGATATGGAGTTACCGTATGATTTAATCAAGAGCGACACAATCGCATTACAGTGGTTCTATTATTTATTGCCAAGATGAAAACATTGACCTGTATTTGTGTCTTGCAGGTGGTGCTGCAGTTGAAATGATCAACCGATTGACGGAGCACTGATCCACGATTACAGGACGAAAAGTGCATGGATGTCGTGTTGCCCTGTCCCAGGATTGTGTGTGTTGCAGGCACAGTGGCCGTGTCACTTCCTTTGTCGTGTACACGTGTTTGCAGGTGAACACATGTTTTTTGCTGTGTGCTGTGTTTTGTCATGAAAATGCTGAAGTAAATGTTCAGTTGCCTTTTTTATTTCACTGAATTAAATTCATCTACTCTCCATTCAAGTTCAGTTCGATATGAGTTTACATACAGACAGTAAGGAGAGGAGATACGGCCTTCGTTTAATGTCTTTATGAGTGGTACTATTATACGCACACACACACACACACACACACATAAAGACACATATATATGTCATTTCATTTCTTAGAAAAACTTAAGTGCTGCCTTTCCTGAGTTACTTTTTGAAAATGATTATTAATTATGTCTCCTGGGCCCTTAACAACCCAGAGAGCTTCCACACCCTGTCCTACAGAAAAGGTCAATAGAAACATTAGGGTTTTCAGTGGTTTATTCAATGGGAGTCAAATTAAGAATATTCAAGTAAATTATTTTGACAGTTACGTGAAATATTGAATCCATGGGGACAAATGAAAGATTTGTCATGAATAACTCTGTGTTCTGCTGAGAAATTGATACATTAAATCAATACATAAGATACCTGAAACGTTAACTTGATGTTTATTTTTTCACAGTTTCAGAAAGTTTTCAGACCTCTTGGTTTTTTGCATATTATTCTGTTACGCATACTTACGTTGATTTACATTGTCCATGAATAGCACTTCGTCACCTCTGACTCAGTTTAGTGGGACAGACGAGTCCTGCGTCTTCCAAACTTTCTTCATTTGAAAGACCTGACCCGTGCTTTACACCACCGCTAAGAAAGTAAACACTGTCGCACAAAAATCAAATCACTCCTAAAAGGGACATGCTCCACAAAGTCCACTTCCTTTCATTAAGCCGTATTTAGCCTCACACTAACTTCAGGTAAACTTTGGAAAAACGTTTTTCTAAAACAATCTGAAGACTTTGTCCTGGAAGCATGTTTGAAGGGGATCTATCGTAGCCAGTTCTAATTAATTAGTGAGTATTCTAAGAAATAAAACACGCAGAAAACATATGAGCAGGTCAATACTGTTTCAAAATCGATTTAAAAATGTGAACCTATACAAGAGATAGCAGAGATGTTGTGCTCTGGGTGAGTCAAGGTGACATTTGTGTCGAGGCTGTGGTCTTCCAGTTGATCCGACTGCTGGCAGCCTGATTAATAATAAGAATGGGCACAACTGCTGACAGACGCTGCCGTGCTAAATGTGTAAATGGCTTTGGTCTTCACTCCCACAGCTTCACGTTAATCATGAGAATGAGCGTTGTGGCTGACGGCTGCAGACATGCTAACTGGACTAATGGCATTCTCCTCCAGCCACAGCAGTTCCACTCCAGATCTTCAGTCTCTATAAAGACAGCTGCCGGAGAAAGAGGCTGAGTCAGTGCTGATCTGAACCAAAGCTTTTCCGCTGAGTTGAACTTGTGTGAACTTTCTGCATTTTGTTTTATCTCAGTGATGATCCCACAGGAAACATTGCGACATGTGCACATAGCATGGAAACGTGTTTAAATCACGAGCCTTTACTGTGCTTCCACTATTGACTGCATATAAAAATAGGTGACATGATGGCTCCCCACAAGTAAAGAGCCTCAATTGCCCCCTGGTGGCTGGATGCAGGTTAGGTCACAAACACCACTTCCTCCAGGATAGCATTCTGCTTGCCGAAGTGTCCTTGGGCAACATAACCCCAGAGAAAGTGCTGCACATAGATGCACTGTATGAATGTGTGAGTGGGTGAGTGTTGCACTGCACTGTAAAGTGCTCTGAGTGGTCATCAAGACTAGAAAAGTGCTTTCTTTCTAATTATAGACCATTCAAACGGACCGAACTATAAACTTAAAGGTTCAGCGTGTAGAATTTAGTGATATCTAGTGTTGAAGTTGCATGTTGCAGCTGAACACCCCTCACCTCACCCTCTCCTTCCAAACATGAAAAAGAACCTGTGGTAGCTTTAATTGTTATAAAAACTCAAAAGGTGTTTAGTTTGTCCAGTCTGGACTAATGTAAAAAACATGGCGGCCTCTGTAGAGAGGACTCCCTCGATGTAAATATAAAGTATTTAAATATAAAGGACCTTTTCTGGGGTAAAGAAAACTACAATTCATACAATTTAGATGAAACGAACCAGTGAAAATGAGGATTATTTTACATAAAATTTCTGCTAATAGTTTATTTTCACCTAAATCTTACACACTGGACCTTTAAAATACATTTTAACTTTTTTAATTGATGGTTTAGGTTATTTTAGGCATCACACTGATTTATGTTCAAATGTTATTTATGTTAAGTTTGGTTTTAATTACTTATTTTATACTATAAAACTGCTGTAAAATATGATTGACAGCTGAGCAACTTGACTTGGGATTGGTCGAGAACTGGTGGGACCTTGATACTGCGATATATACAGTCTATGAGTGTCACAGGTCCCAAGGCTTGGTTATTTTCAGGGTCTGGAGCTAAAGGTGTCGTCCAATTTCACATTGTCAAGAAGAATGATTAAAATGTCTGGATCCACGTCTTCAACTGAAGACCAAAAGTATGTTAGTTTCCTCCCTGGCCTGTGCCTCATCCCTCCATCCCTGCTGACAAACAAACAGACACAGAGAAGGGTGGTGCTTACGTATATGTCAACGAAAGGACACTTTATATGTAGTTGGTAGAGATGTCAGTGGTTTTATTTAAACTCTATTCTTTGAAGTCTATAAACTGACACAAAGAATTTATATTTTATTTTCTCCCTCTCACATGTATCCATATGCCCCCTCTCTCCCTCACTCTCTCTCTCTCTTTCTCTCTCCCTCACACTCTTTCTCTCATTCTCACGTACACATACAGTACACACACACACACACACACACAAGCATTCCTGCAAAGTTGTTTGTCTTTACACAACCAGCAAGACACGCATACGTCAAACACACCCACATCCCATTCCACGTGAGAACATATAGAGCACAAGAGAAAAAATGTACAGTAATTTTACACAATAAGAGTCCAGCACATGTCCTCTTCATCCACAGCCTGCAGGCAAACCAGTTGTTCAAGACTTCCATTAGCTCCTCGGTCCACAGAAAACATGTCTTTCAGCTCTGGGTCCTTTTGTTGCAGGGGGAGGCGAGCGACTTCTTTTCTTTTTATTTCCACCTCCTCTCTGTCCTGTGCTCTGCTCATGTCCACAAATGGCAACGCTGGCAGCATGGAGAACAGCCTTGCCGGGGACTCGGAGGACACTGAATTCAAAAGATTGTCATCATAATGCTGGAATGTCTCACTACAATCTACGCTTAAATAATGGGACTGTATGTCAGAGCCTCAGAAAAGCTCGGAAGGTTTCCAATTTCTGTTTCTGGTGCTCCTTATTCTTCTTAATCTAGAAAAAAGTACAAGATGGTTTAGGAGTTAAGTTAAACCCTGTGAAAATATTGAGATTCTTGGTAAAGGCACAATATTCAGCCATGAGAAAGAGGACAATGCTATATTGTGTCCTGTTGAAGCCTATCTGGTTTTGCTGCTTTTTTTGTTTAAAGCCCTGATAAGACAAGCATTGGTCATAACCATCAAGTTGCCATACTGCAAACCTTTGTCCTGAACAAGCAAATCTATGAAGCGGCAGAAAGGTATTACCCCAAAGAAAAGCAAAAATAGCCTATATGGTAAAAGACAATCCTGGTTTATTACAAATAAGATCTTAATATGGTGACTTTGCTTATCATGTCTTTCAGTAAAGACAAAGTTTGGAAAATACCCACATGATTTCTTCTGATCAATATATCGGGTTCACACTTCTTATGTGAACCCATGTGTGACTTTAGATCATATCAATGACAGCTCTTTTATTTATAGCCTGTGTGATTGTCCGACTCCTTACTGTATGTTGCTGTGTTTACAGACCTCTGACTTAAATCCCATGAGCACAAACTTAGCACAAATGTAATAACTGATAGGAACAGTGGTCAAAGCTCCTGTATGAACATAATATCCAGATTCTGATAAACTAGAGATATCCTTAAAGGGGAATTCCAGTACAGTGGAAAGTCATCACATTTGTCCCGGACCAAAGTGATCACTATAAGCAGTTAATTAGAATAAACGCTTTGCATAGATTCTGTATGATAGTCCCAGAACTTGAAGGAAAGTTAACATTGCACACTTGCAAATGCTACACACTGCCTCCACTGCTCACTCCCTTCCTCCCTCTCGCACTGTCATCGGTCATGTGTATAAAGTCAGACTGGGTAAAAACAACAGAATTTCTAAACTTAGACAATGACGAGCCGGAGGAGATGGCAGGGTGCGTTTGATCTGGCACGAGATGGTTTGCAGTGCGCAGCACGAATGAAAGAGACACAGAGAGGAGCAGTGGACTACTGACAGAGCTGGTAAAACTGCAAAACATAACTTTTTTCTGGTCCTAACATGTATGAAAAGACCCTAAATGAACAAAGAGGACTACTTCACTTTAACCTAATTACTTTGAACATTTTGTTCATTAGCAATTGTATAAGGACAATTCTGTCCCAAGCTTTTTGATCCATATAAACGGTTGATCACTCTGTGAAGAAGAAATGTAAAAGTGGTTTCCACTGTATTTTCAACCTGGGCCCATATGTTCACAAGAAAAAAACTTTTGGAATCCAGTAGACTGTCTCCACAATGGCAGCAGCTATAATGGAATCTTCTGGGACAATGATTACAAATCATAACATGTCCACGAAAAGGGCTTTTTAAACAAATAAAAGGCTCAAATTGTTATTCTGGATTTTTGCTAAGAGACTTACAACATTACATGTCTCGCTCAACCAGCAGCACATTGTCCCTCGTCTGCTTGTTGTGTCTCTCTCCTCGTTTATGCATCAATTTGTAGGAACCTTTGAATCCATATACTACAAGGGAGGGCCATCGAAGTCAAATGCTTTATCATCATCATCAGAAACAGATTCACCATGTGTAATGTTGCCATACTCTAATCAAAGACCCACAATGACATTTTGAGCCTATTGGTGATAAAAAAAACTTTAAGTGGACATTTTGTGATCTGTCCCAGTTGCCCTATGAGATTACATTGTGGCCACTGCCGCTGCCTATGAAGTTCTACTGGACTGATTCAAAAGTCTTTGGATTAACTTGTGCATTCATATACACACCCACATTTATAAACAAAGGGCCTCGGTTGAAAAAAACTCCACAAAAACAGAATTCCCCTTTAAAGCGAACTCAGCAGTTGATCCACTGTGACCTTTCACATCCCACTGCATTAACACAAACTCAGAGTCAAGCAAAATAGAAACCCTGCCACAAGCGAAGGAGAGATCCCTCCTTGCACGTCTCTACGAAAGCCAGCATCTCCAATTCCACTTTCATTTGGGCAGTCAGCAGGTGACAGGGAATGACTAGTATAAAAGCAATGGGTTCAAAGTTACACAACGACAGATCTGGAACACAAAGAAACCAGGTTGGAGTGTTTGCTAAAGCAAACCCTCTCAGGTCTCAAATGTGGGAGGTATCAGGTGACTCAATGCAGGACAAAAAAAAAAATTACACAAAGAGACAATGTGTTGGAGTTTATCAAGGGTGTAACAGCACGCAACCACACAAGGAACCTCACCTGTGTGTGGTTAACCTCTTATGTATGTTTTCAAATCGGATTTCTCACCTCGAGATTTTAAACACAATTTCAACGTTCAGTGCTAATGTAGGAAGTATGGTGTCCTGTGTACTGAGGCTGAGACTTACACTGCTGAACCGAAGGCATTGCTCAGATTGTAGGTTATTACACTTGAATGTGGTCAAATCAGATATGTGTGTTCAAACATCTTGTATTAACAATATCTATTTATCAAAAATATCCTAATATGGTTTGGATCAGATTTATGATGTGTGTTTTTTTTTTTAGCTTTCTCTCATTTAAACCTGTACAATACAGGCATTAACACTTTATTCCAGTCCATACTTACCATGCATTCATATTGTAGAACTGCTTTTCTAATCAGCACACTATAAAAAATCATATTGTCAGTCAATGGAACTTTGCAGTGGTGACAATATTATTATTATTATTGATCCATCTGCACCATCATGATGATACAGTGAGTCTCTGACCTAAATACCATGAGGTCATGAATCAAACATGAAAACTGTACAAGCCATGGTGTGAGGTGCTAATGATTTGACAATTCATGTCATGTCAAATACCCATGTTGATAGCAGCACCAAGGCGTACTCCCCCTTCACAAACCAAGTTTAAATAAGTCTTTTTTTTTTTACAAATTGGTTCAGTACTTTTTTGTAATCTTGTTGACAATCGAACAGACGCTAATGAAACACACACCTTCCTTGGCAGAGGTAATAATGTTCCCTGTCATGTCAAACAATATCCAGGAATTGTTTGAGGAACACACAGGTGAAATAGCAAGGTCACACCAAGTTCTGTAATAAACCCTGCTAACGCTTTGCAATGAAAACAAATGCAACAATAAAAGCAGATCCATCCATCAACCCTAAGAATGTAGAGAGCTGGTGTCAGCATGGCCAGTTATAACACCAGCAAGTTACAGGGCTTTGGAAAAACACATTATGACTTCTAGCAGCTGGTATCATGGCCAACATGGTATTGACAGTCATTGATTTCTAATTTTCTGGTCACTGAGTACATACTCTCAAACCCCAACCAGAAAATATACTGTAAGCCTGCTTGTAGGTTACTGTATATAATAAAACTTTTAGCCATCAGGCAGAGATATACAGATATAGGCTAAAGAATAAAACTAAAAAAATTGAGTTATTTTTACTTTCTGATCACCAAAGGCATTGATGAAAATTCTGTCAATGATAAGGTATGGCATCCAGAGTCACAAGATCCCAATCTGAAAATAGTCAATAATCTCCACCATTATCACCAAAACACCAACTGAGCAAGTACGTGTATCTTTTGGAAAAAAGGCCCATCCCTCAACATGACCACAAGTCTGTACATGGTAAGTATGGTACGGCTAAAGTTAAGGTGAGAGTTTGGATAGAGTCAAGCAAACCAAGATCGTGGTTTTGCTTGATACAAATGTATACAATATTATTTGTTGGTCTTTGACAGAATACAAACTCCAGTCTCCTGTATGAAAGTCAGACTCTATATGTTCATCCATGTCCTCAACCTCCACACCCTTACTATATCCCTTATTATACCAGAGACTGCAAAGGACACAATACTTCCTTCAATTTCAATCAACCTATTCTGTAAGTGTGGATTCATCCATTATTTTCAACACACTGGTACTAGGTATTTCATCACGAGCAGCGTGTTTTATCAGGGCTTATCATTTTGAATGTGGTTTTGAAAGCATGGTGACATCATTGGTCAGTCTTTACCTGATTTCCTTTAAAGAAAATTGCATTGCACATGCTCACAGACACTGTGAGAATATTGTTGGTACAAATCTGACTAAAATTTTTTCGTTTGAGAGATTAGTGTGAATTCCAATTAATATCTGCCCTGTGCTTATCTTAAATGCAATGATTGTTCAAAAGCATACAGTATAATGATTATAATAAAGGGCCCAGTAGAGCCATGCAAAGCTTTTTTAATAGATACAATATGAAGGGAACTGAATTTGTTGTTTTGCACTGCAAAAGCAGATAAATGCACATGCACTTGGCACAATCCTAACAAAATCATGTAAATCTTGAAAAGCAAAGGTAACATGTTTATTAGGTCACAAATGGCTGTCAAAGAAGGATTTCTACACAATGGTACAACCCAACTCCATAAACATTACCCCAGTCAGGGCACTGAGCTTGAACCCAACGAAGATTACCTTATTATGATGGCATTCACCCAAACATCTTCTATTTAACAGCTGGCTGAGGTTCAGTCACAAAACCAAGTGAAAACCTCTTCAGTTACCCACTGTTTTTGCACTGGGCTTCTTTATCTTGTTTTTTTTTTTCACCTTTAAGCAAATTAAATGTTGTGTTGCATTCACATGCAAAATGTGAGATAAAAGAAGAAGGTAAGAAAAAGAGAACAAATGAAAGACCATTACCCATAATGTTGGGGTCACCAATGTCTTTTTGGCAAGTTTGGACTTAGAAATACAATACCTCTAGTGTGTCTAATATTTCTATCTATATCTATTTTGTTTGGATGAGTACAGTAAAAGTGATAGGTTTTTTTTTATAAATTATATCTCTGTTTTATATTATACCTCTGTTTTAAATTGTATTTACATTGTAAAGTCACCCAGTACTACTCTTTCCAAAACAGTATTTATATAAATGGATTATTTTCATTGCTGTACAAGACCTAGGTAGCTTTTCACTAGCAGTGGTGCTGCCACACAGGCTCACTACTGCCACCCTAGTGGACATAGTAAAGCCAGTAGACTAGGTTGAAGAAGGTGAATGCAATGGGGAAGACGACACGGGACCACTTGTCTATGGCGTTGACATCCGTGAGGTCAGGGATCTTGACTTTGAGCTGCGAGGCCCTTCTCCTCAAGCGGCCCTTCTTATGGCCCATTGGCCGATCAATGGCCGGTCGTCCGTACAGGTCTCGGCTGGTCATGGGCTTGCGGTACTGTATGCTGGCACTGTCGTAAGAGAACATGGTAGCCCGAGGGTCGTTGAGAGCTCCCATCATATCTGCTCCACCCATCTCACTGGTTAGGTTGGTCAGTAGGATGTTGCCATGAGCATCCACCTGAGGGAAGTTGCCATAGTTTATTAAATTTATTCAAAATCCAAATAGTCACAAAAACCAAAGGCTGTCCCCCTAATTACGTGCATCATTTTATTTTGGTGTTTTATAACATGTCTTGGACTGCCCCTTTCAGGTTAGAGATAAGGGATCTGTATGTAAGATTTATTTATTTTTGTACATCAGCGACAGCAGAGTCAATATTGTTTTCACTGGTTTACATTGCAGCACCAGCATAAAAGCTCATAATGCAATTGCCCCGCTTATAAAAGTGTGCAAAGGATACAGTTTGGGATAAACACATCTTACACCTTGCATTGTAAAATGTGAATATAAAAATTCTTTATTATTTTGCAGTCTTTATATATTTCTCAACACAATCACTTGTGTCACTTTTTGACTGCGGATCAGTCTACCTTTGATTATGAGCATATCTGTTAAAAGCACTTTTGCATTTATCTATGGTCTATCAATTAGTTGGTTTAAAGAATAGTCAATAGACCTGTTTCTCATTTAAGAGAGTATAGAACTGCATTAATCCAAAAGATATAAATAGAATTTACAGTATGTGGCTTTCCTTTCATTTTTGTTGAGGAAATGAAACTTGAGTAAAAGGCATTATTAGCCTTACACAGCAATCAGTATTGTAATCATGTGCCAACAGCACCCGAGGACCAGCTCAGCTTGGTGAGTCAGGCCTCTACGTCAACAACAAAACATGATAATTACACAATATATTCTGCCCACCTGCACTTTGTTGCTCTCCATTCTGCTCCTATTCTCATTGTTGGTTTTGGCAGCCTTTTCTGCTACTTTCTTCTGTAAGTGAGGACCACGGCCAAAGAAGATGTAGTTGACAAAGGCATACTCCAGCAATGCCAGAAAGACAAAGACAAAGCAACCCATGAGATAAATGTCAATGGCCTTGACATAAGGGATCTTGGGCAGCGTCTCCCTTAGGTGGGTATTGATAGTGGTCATGGTCAGCACCGTGGTTATGCCTGCAGACAAGCAGATGTGGTGGGTAGAAACAGTTAGACTGGGGTCTTTTAGCAACAGTAACTGGCAACACTGTTAGCTCAACTAGCCTGCAACTTTGTGCTCTCAAAGATGACAATAACAGTCTTACATTTTCATTCTCTCTTTGCATGGCACTATGGATATTTTAAACAAATGGGGTTAATTGGCATGAAATCTATTCAAGGGATGCATGCCAACATTGGTTATCCTTTAACTTCTCTTGTAGAGCATCAAGACTTTTTGGTTGTGAGGAAAAGGCCTCAAGTACTACTCTTTGGACTTTGGTACAAACATTGAACATCCACAGGCAATACTTCATAATGAAGTTGGGAATTTTTATTCTAATTCCACCATCAGTATGAACATTTTTGGTTTTAGGTTACGGTTTTTGGTTGGTTTGACTGAAATGCCTACGTGACAGGAATACGATGGACCTTGGGCATGCAGATGGGGAAGACTGGGAGTCTTACCACTCTACCCCTCAGCCACAACTCTCTCCTCATTCCAGACCCTGCCACACTTACTTCCCCAGCAGTTATGAATTTGTCCAACCATTGTCACTTACCTTCTCAACTGTTTCCCGTTCAATCTATCAGTGGCACTTACTTTAATTCCTCACCAGATTGTCCGACAGGCCATAATCATTTCTGCCTTTTCTGCCTATATGTTCTTCTGCATGACTCATTCCTGCCTTTTTAGACTTCTTGCCTCCCTTTGCCTAGTCGCGCTTCTTGTACTTGTTTGCCTGATGGACTATTTATCCATGTTCAACACCTTCCTGTCCCCAGAAACCCAGTTAAAGCATACATTAAGAATCTTCCCATCTTGTTCATTATTTCCAAAAGAAAACTCACCTGCAACTCATCAAACCCCGGACATAAGCAAGTATCTTGGAAGAAACGTAATTCGAGTTCAAGGCTGCTTGCCTTTGGAGATTTGGCATGAATGTCCAGAGATGTCCTTTGTAAAACAGCGTGAGACTTTTTTTGTATATTTCCAAGAATGATGCTCATGAATAAGACAAGAACTGGCCTATACATACTAAAACTAATTACTCATTACTTATAGCCATTGTAACCCCCACGGAGCGCACATCAGGCAGCTGGTCAGTGCTGTTTCTGGTGTGAGGATGACCATCAGTGCCCTGGCAAGAAAGGGATTATTTTTGCGTCTGTCATCTAAACATGCTAACACAAGAAAAAAAAACTGTTCTCTCCGTCTTATTCCATGCCGTCTCTTCACCACAATAACTGCAGCCATCTGTGCGTAACGTTAGCACCTACTTTTCAAACAATTTTTTTCAGGCTTTGTAAATCATAACGCGTCTGCTAAATTAAAGTATTTGCATCTACTCAGTTAGAAATGCCCGATATTGCATATTCATTAAGGCAAACGTACTAAATGAACAGCATGTGTTATTCTGCATGCAATCCTCAGTGCGCACCGCTAGTAGATCAGCTTGCATGTTTTTGTGCGGGGGGAAATCAAGTTTGCACACGTTTTTGCACGCACAAACCTTTAGTAGATCAGGCCCTAAATGTACAATGTCTGTTCCTAAGTTTAGTCAAGTCAAGCACCAACAATGTCCAATGAAAGAGAGGTAATTTGATCCAGCCCAATATTATGTTTCAGCCCGATTTCATTGAGCTCTCCCTTAACTCAAGCTCAGATTGTTTAAAGAAAAGCTTATTTCAAAAACACCAAACAATGACACAACCAAGCCCATTCAGAAAGAGGCCAGACATGAGGAAGCATTTTTTACTTTCTGCAAAAGGTCATTCTCAAGACAAGCAGTTCTGGAGTCAGCTCAGAATGTTAAAAATTGGCATTTATAACATTTAATATCACTGTCAAAAAATGGGAAGAATAAGATTTTTCTGAGGCCATTATCAAGGAGTATTTTCTTGGGTAAAACTAACCTACATTCCATTAAAAACAGAAGTGATATCGTTTCAAGGTTATAGTGGATCACAACATTTGTGGCATTCAGAGGCATGGACTGACTGAGTAAGCTTGGCATTTGAGCACTTCCCTTATAAGGCTCAAGAGAGTGTCTGTTATTCGTGTAGTGAAGAACTTCTCCAGTCCATCTCTAGTGACACCTCTGATAAGTGCAAGGGATGGCATCGTGGAATGTCTGACAGCCACGTGCTTCTGAAAGTCAAAGATGGTCAGCCATTTCTAATACCCTCATTACCAGAGCATCAGTGCTTACCTTAGAACTTACTGACCTTATGTTTTATCAATGCACTGAGATATGTCCTGTCAGTATGTGGACCTGTTGCACACTCAAGGTTACTTGAAATTTGAGGGGGATGGATATTCCCAATAAAGACAATATGATCAAAGGCTGCATTGACATGTTATACTCCTCCGATATGAACAGAGCATGGGAAAGAATAATTTATTGCCCATAGTCATGTCTACCATGTATACAGTATGGGCATTTGATTATGTGATCCCTAGGTTGCTAAAATACTTTCATCAGATTCCTAACTGACAAACTAACAGACTAACAAACAGCTGCAGGCTAAACAAACCAGACATAGTGATGGAGGACAAAGAACAGAAGATGGCAGTAGTGATAGATGTGGCAATCCCAGTGGATAGTAACATCAGGAAAATGGAGCATGAGAAGATTGAGAAGTACCAAGGGCTAAAAGAACAGCTAGAACAAATGTGGAAGGTAAAATGCAATGTGATCACTGTGAAAGTAGGAGTGTTAGGAGCTGTAACCCCCAAACCTGGAGAGCGACTCCATCAGATTCAAGGTACAACATCTGAAGACTCTGTCCTACGCAGTACTACAAACAGCTAAAATACTGCGCATCCATGTATTTGTTTGACTGCTACTCTATCCCGAACAAGAAATCTTTAAAAAGTCTCCAAAGTGGCAAAATCTAGTGAAAAAGATTTTAAGTTAAGACTGCTGTTGACATTTTTTATCCACTTCAAGCTCATAGTGCAGCCCATTTGCAATGGCCTGGCCACTTGGAGCTAACTCTGCATTTAAATGACTCCATATTAATGTACGTATCATGGGATGCAGATGGTGATTATGAATGACACTAAATAAGCTGTGTAGAGCTACAAATAGCTGTGACTGCAGTGTATGAGTACATTACATGTCCAAAATCGTGCTATACACTATGCACAGCACATGTTGGGTTGTGTCTAAGCGTGAAGGCTTGTGTGGGTGACCAGGTCTCCAACACAAAGTTGAGCCACATGTCGGTGTTGTTTGCAATTGATTGTCCATGTGTATATTATGTGTTATAATCAATTTATTTGTGACATGAAAGTTGGGCTTAGTCAAGCTTTTCTTACCCTTTGCCTTCACTTAAACATGTTTTATATACTGTAATATCACGGATGACAACTGCTTCACATTATAGATTCCTTCAAAATCTACCGAAGTGGGAGTAATTATGTAGCTGTGCTGAGCTCCGACTCACCTCTGGCTGACACACTGACACAGCTTCAGTAATGGGAGACTTATTGCTGTTATAAAAACTGGAATGGTTTGGCCATTAACTTGATGGGCCTTTGTCACCACAGTAACTCAGGCCAGCTGACACAGAAGGCTCTCCCTTGCCCCAATTGCAATGTGAATTCAAGATTGACTTTGTGGTTAGAGTTGAGTAGTCTAAGAGTTGACAGGCCATATTTGATACTATTTCAACCAAATCCACCAAAGTCACATTAGTGTAATTTTGTATTTGTGTAGATGTTAACATTTCTCTGGAGGGTTAACATTTCAACCTTCTGGTGGCACAGGTGGTGTTTAAGATATTCCACATAAATAGTCATTTTGCGGAACATCAGAGGAAGCATGTAGTTAAAGTTTTTAGTACTAAAATACTACGATTTTACTGAAATAAAGGCAGCAGGGTAGCATCAGCATTTCACTACATATATCATATTCATTCAACTATTCATTCATTTCTAAATGTTTTTGTGTATCTTCACTAATAATTTGTTCACAGATTGCATTCATATTCACATTCACCTTTTTTGATAAATAGAAATATTTCCTGTTTATTCACTCAGATGCAAATATTTCAGCACTACAAATGTTTTCTTTACGTGTAAGATTTAAATCTCTTGTGTACGTTTATGTTACAGGTTTACAAAGGATGATTCACAACTACATACTCATACACATTATTAATGTCGCTTTACAACCTTCAAATCTTTTTTAGCATAATCTGAGCCCATATTCATTCTGATTGGTATTATTGTGTGCACCACTCTGAACATGGACTTAAAAAAGAGGAGACAGGGAATGAAATAATAGCCAAACCTAATCAAGATAAAGGCTAAAAAACTGTTTCATGTCCCTGTGACCAGATAAAACAGAATTTAAAAAATAGAGCTTTTTTGGCAAAGTCACAGCAGTTCTATGTTCACAGAAGAGAAAATAGCACCACCCCCACTGTGAGACATGGAGGAGGCTCAGTTTTATGTTGTCTCTTTGCTGTGTCTGGCACAGGGAGCCTTGAAACTGTGCACGGATCAATGAAATCAGAAGGTTATAAAAGCATTCTGGAGCAAACCATACTGTCGAAGAGCTCTGATTCATTCATGAGTCCTGGCTCCTCCAACAGAATAATGACCCAAAACCCAAATCTAAAAGCAGCCAAGAATTGATGAGAAAAAAACACTGGAGTACTCTGAAGTGGCTTCCTCTGAGTCCTGCTCTCAATGCAACTGAGCATCTTTGGAAAGCTCCAAACTTACAGTTGGGGAAAGGCACCAATCAAACCTGTGAACTGGAGATGTTTGATGTACAGCCACTCCACTCACACAACTAAGAGTTATAGCAGCAAACCTTGCAGCTGATCTGTGAAGAAATAAAAAAGGTCACTGACCTAAGGCCACTCTGGCAGCCGAGGCATCATAGTTGATCCAGAAGGAGACCCAGGACAGGATGGTGATCAGGGTGGAGGGCATGTAGGTTTGTAGGATAAAATAGCCAATGTTCCTCTTCAGCTTAAAACTCAGGGACAGACGTGGATATGAGCCTGTGGAAGACAACAGTTGAGTTTGCTTTGAGTGAATATAATATAGGGGGAAGAGTCTGAGCAATCTTACAGCCTCGGAAAAAAAGCTGAAGAAGAACCAGCTGTTCAAGTTGTTAGTCTGGTTATAAAATAAAAGATAAGATAAAAGAGGAAAAAGAGACTGAAAAATGGTTTCACTGACACAGAGCAGCAGCCTTGTCTTTGCACAAAAAATGTGATTAATTTATCATTCATCAACACATCAGTGGAGACCTGGATCTCTGCTGTGAAACTAAAGAACAGTGTTTAACCTCTGGACAAAAGTAGTTCCTCAACGCTCCCCCATAATTTTCTAAAGGTTAATGTTTCCTCAACAAAAAAAAGTGTGACAATGAAGCAACATGTTATTAATCCACTGACTTTTGGTCAGCATTTATAGGAATTATTTTCTTTTTTCTTTCTTTTCTCTCTACCATAGAGTGAAATCCAGGAATAATCGCAGAACGTGTGGGCTCTGTTTGCTGTATCCTTGAATCTGTGTGCTCAAACAATGAACTATACTGGCAGGCGCTTTAGCCCCTGGCAGCTCTAACCAAGCCAGGCAGGTCACGGCGGTAGAGGCCAGATGAGAATCAGCACCCGGTCCTCCAGGTAGGTGGTTGGGGGTGGGGCCACCTACAAAACCCTTGAAAACTACCATCATGATGGGACACGTCGAATGCTACTACAATGGACCCTGTAGTGGATAATCTGCTTGGGAACCAAAATTAAGATCTGACTTTGAACATGGAATACCCCCACCATGTTAGAAATATATAAAACTGTGCGGGTCATCAATGAGAGGAGGAGGTATAGATTAGACATCCTGGGATGAGATCCTGAGATGAACCTAATCCACTGAACACATTGAATATGGAGGGTTCCATATGCATGCTAGTTGTGTATTTCTTTATTTTCTGAACTGAGTTAATTATAGCCAACAGAGAGTAAATCACAAACAGTGATGGCATCTGAAGGCTGAAGATAAGTCCTTACATATCACACACTATGATTTTATCTACCGACTAATATGACTAATGACCAATACTGACTGACCCAGACTGGAACAGGCCTTGTCCAACTTGGTTTGATCAGTCATCACACTTAAATTACATTCATATCAGTAAGCGTGTCCCTTCCCTCAGAGATATTATCTGACAAGTTATATATTATATTATTATGATTTACACCATGACCACTTGCCAACATCATAGCAGATATAATCAAACTAAAAATATAGATATTAGTTACATATATAGTTAGTTTTAATCTAACTTTTCAAAATATCATGGTTCCCGAGTCTCATATGTTAATAATTTGTATTTCTAGGTTACATCCAGTCAAAGTCTATTCTATAGGGCTACTTTTAGGTTCCATTTGCCAGAAGTACAATATCTCATACCATTCCTTTGCAGACAACACTAAGCTTTACCTCCCTGTAGAGGCCGCTGACAATGAAAACTACAATAATGCTGTTAATTCTCCTGATGACTGTCTCTAATAACTAAATGGTTTGTATTTATAAAGTCTAATCACAAATTAGACAATTAAACAAGATTAAAACAGTGGTTTTGTTTGGTCTCACTCTCTATGGAGAGTAATACATACATACCAGATTCAAAATCTTGGTGTCATATTTGACCTTGTGTTGACATATGACAAACATACCACAGCTGCTGTGAAATGTTGCCACTTTCAACTAAGGAATATAACAAAATGTAAACCCTCCCTTACCGTTAACTTCAAATTGTTTAATCTAGTTTTATCTTAATCTCATCACGACTGGATTATTATGGTGCCCTCTACTTGGACATCAGGCAGTAATCTCTGTCCTGTCTGCAGGCAGTGCAGAATGCTGGACACCTTACCAGCACCAGGAAGAAAGACAGCATCTCACCTTAACTTGCATCACTAGACTGGATTCCAGTAAAGTATATGACTCAGCATAAACTCATTTTATTTGTTTTTAGAGCTTCAAATGGACTGGCCCCCACAAAACCTGAGTCTGAGCTTCTGTGCCCCTTTCCACTCCTAAGACTCTCAGATCCTCTGACCAGCTTCTCCTGGCTGTCCCTTGCTCAAGAGTAAAGGAGACTGACGGTGATTGTACATTTACCATTGCCACTCAAAAGATTTGGGACAGTTCACCATGCGTTTGCCCTCCATTGAAATAATTAGGTTTTAATTTATTGTATTTCATCTTCTTACTTCTATTTGTTTAGTAATAATTGTACAGCACTTTGGTCAAGAATGGCTCTTAAATGTGCTTTAAGAATAAACTTCACGTAAAAGCAAGGGTCTTGGAATTAATGCTCCACCAGACGTCTTAAGATCCCGAAAGATACATCGCACCAATTGCTGTCAAACCCAAGCAGACAGGGATAGGGCTCCAAGCTAAGGCTACCAAATACAGTTGCTGATATCATTTTAGTCATTCATGCAAATCTGATACACATTTCAAATTAACATTTGCATGGTGCTCAATGGGAACCTATTCATCCCCTTTTCTGTTGATCTTGGTGTTTACATAACCAAGTCCCAAGCTCCTTATGTGAGACTCAGTCATTGCTGTTCTCACCTACAGTCTAATACTGTTGCATTGATTTAGAACAGCAAACAAACACCTCTGTTGATAATAACACCTTCGAATTGTTAAAAAATTGTTGTTTGAATAAGCAACAGAGGAGTGAGGCAGCAGCTTTTCTGCACCATGGCCTATCGGCTATAATGTGTGAAATGTGGAGATTCAGTGAACACAGGCCAGGCTGACTGACTATGGCTCAGTAGAGCACATACAGTGACATTGGGCGTGAGCAGATACGACTTACCTGTAGCAAACACAGCCTTCTTGGAGAGGGTCTGGTAGTCTATGATGGAGAACTGGGGGAGTTCAATGTTCTCCACCCCAGTCACAGAGCCTGCGTTGCTTCCGCCCTGCCAGTAGAACTCGATGTCGTCAGTGGTGTATCCATCTGAGTGAGGCAGGGGAACACAACAAGTTCAACTTCAACTAAAATGCATGGGCCAGCACATTCAGACCCAGGCATACATCCCACATAGAGGAGGTAGTGCTTTCACACCTGCCATTTTAAACTTAGAACTCAAAAGCATTTTCTCACTAGGTACATTTCTCTTGGACGGTCAAGAGCAGTAGTTACATATTGAAACCCCATATCCTAAGACTACAGATGTTGCATTCTAAAAGCTGCTGTTAGAGGGTGTATCTCTCATGCATGTGCAGGGACCATCACTCTACCCAGGAGGACTCCTGCTAAAAAAATATGGGAGTTTCTCCAATGAACAGTGCAGGTCGGACTGCACTGATGGAGGGGAAGTTACCTTGTGTCTTTTCTTGTGTACAGGGCCGAGGCAGAGACGGCTGTGTCCATTATCTGTTGACCTGTGTTGTTTTCTATCAAAATACTAAGATTTGTAAAAAGTGCTCAGCAAAGGCTGTGTAGCCACATTCCACCAGTATAGTCCAGCTGTTCAACAGAGGTTCTTCCTGGCTCTGCCCCAGACATCATACAGGACTATATTAAAGATCCATTAGCCACAGAATGAATCTGTCCATTCACATCACATACAGGTGCATGGTTCCTCTTTGTGGGTTAAAGGTACAGTGTGTAGAATTTTGTGATATTTAGTGTTGAAGTTGCATGTTGCAGCTGAACACCCCTCACCTCACCCTCTCCTTCCAAACATGAAAAAGAACCTGTGGTAGCTTCAGTTGTCATAAAAACTCAAAAGGTGTTTAGTTTGTCCAGTCTGGACTAATGTAAAAAACATGGCAGCCTCTGTAGAGAGGACCCTCTCTGTGTAAATATAAAGTATTTAAATATAAAGGATCTTTTCTGGGGTAAAGAAAACTACAATTCATACAATTTAGATGAAATGAACTAGTGAAAACATCATGAGGATTATTCTACATTAAATTTCTGCCAATAGTTCCCTTTCACCAAAATCTTACACACTGGACCTTTAAGATAAATAATAGCCCTCTACATAACATCAGTTAGAACTGTCACTCTCCTACTTTTTTGTACTCAAGCTTTTCAGGATTTCTTTAGTCTCACCATTCAATAAAATCAACCTGTGCAACATTTCTAACCTGGTGCGCATCTGAGAAGAAAAACAGGTGGACTTGAAGATTTTGTCAATGGTTGCTAACATTTAATGAGGTGTGCTAGAGCAGCACTGTTGCACACTAGGTCCAGAAATGTGCACCACTCCAAACATCGGCACAGACCCTCTTTCTTTCCACCAGCCAGGAGGTCTTGGTTGCGGCAACTCATGAGGCTTCATGTCTGTATCCCAAGACAATTTTCTACTACGCAATAGACAAAAAGGTTACACATCTTTCTGTGTACGCTTGACTACATACATCGCCACCTCCAGGTTTTCTGATTACTCATCTGGCCTTAACTGTGTGGAGGATCTTGCACCCCCTCATGTTCTGTGGTCAACCAGGAAAAAAGAAACTGTGCACGGCATGTTCCCTGTATTTAGGTCCAGTTAAGTAACGTTACAACATGGACATGAAATTCTACCATCCATTCCTGAAAAGATTTCATGATGTGTTTGTCTATTGCAATAATGCAACAGAAAATGAAGTACCAATCAAACAAGTGGTGGGATCTATTATTAAGGTGGCAGCATCAAACAATATTTGACTACAAGCTTTTGCTCTAAGTTCTGTAGTGAAATATAGCTTTGAAATAGTTTTTAAAGTTTGACCTGGATTGAATATGAGTTAAAACTGTGAATAACTCTTGTGCCATTATAAAGATAACGTGTACAAATGTCAATACGAGGAA